AAAATGATAAGAACTGCCTCTTATTTAAGGTATAGAGGGAAATTACAGTATTTAGGGAGATTTGAGAGCTCCCTTACCTCTCCTCCTAACTCTCTCAAGGAAATAACTACGGGCCAAAAGATACCCTCCTCTCCTTACAGCAGCTATATATATAACCAACTCATTGCCCAAAACCCATAACTAACTTGGGCCCACAATACAAATATTATCTTTCCCTATTTTCCCTTCTTACCCTTTCTCCTAACATATTTATGAACAATTGGAGGCCTATCATTAATATCAAGAACTTATTAGACACAAAATGAAAAGTTAACGAGTCGAGAATCTTTTGAAAATACATGAACTAAATAGACACAACTATAAAAGTTTAAGGATCTATTATAATCTTTTGTAAAATAAAAATGAAACAAAAGATCTATTAAAATCATTTTTTAATGCAAAAACTAATCCTTGAAAATTTAGGGAAGTTAGGTTCCAAAGTAAAAGAAAAATGAAAGTTAATAATTTAAACCATTTTCTTCATCAATGTGTGATCATTAGCATGGTCGGGATGTAAGGTATAAATCAGTTCGTACCTGAGCAAATAGAAACATGTTGAAGAATATGCAAATCGCTGGCACAATGGGAACTCCAGGGCAAGGAAATCCTGCCACATCTCCATATATCTGCGTAAAATGATGGGGGAAATGAGTTAAGAACTAGAGAAATGAAAACCAGTTTATTTCTTAAAATTCTCATAAAATGGCACTTTATATCACTCGCAGCTGTACAACTAACTAGATTAAAAGCTAGCAAACTAGAACTGCAGAAGGAAAAAAAAAAAGAAAAACAGAAGAATGCACATAGCTTCAGTTTATTCTCGACGAAGCTAATTGAGTCATGAACATGATCAAAAACAATAAAAAAATAACCTTTTTGCATAACAAGGTCGAATTAAAATTAAATTTGCACAACTGGAGCAGAACTCGATCAAGCGAACTATAATTATTCAATCCTGATGAGAAAAGAAACAACCTTACTTAACAACTGTGTCCTTGCGTTCCAGAGATGATAAATGATTTGGAGGAAGAAAAATCGAAAATAGAAGAAAAAGTTCACACTTTGATCAATTGAAAGAATGGATCATTCAATCGGACATTCAGGATTTTTCACCTTGCTTGGTAAGAGTAGGATTTAATTAATCGAAGTTTCAAATTATTTTTTAACCAAAAGAATATATTCAAACTAAAATTCCAATATCGTCTTCTGATCCCCTTCTATCTTCCTATTTTCCTATCTTATGATTTTCAGTTCTTCTCTAATGAAAGAAACCTCTCTAACGATTTTCGTAATTCTCAAAGCCTCCAAGAAAACTGAATACTATTGAGAGCAAATATGAAAGTAAACTGTAAAAGAAAACTTCTTTGTGCCTATTACCAAAGCTAGAACTAAAAGGATAACTAAACTCACGTGTCGAAAATGAAGAGCCATTGCTGCAAGTGATGCAATAACAGCAGCTACAATAGAAACCAATGGCAAACCAGACCGGTAGAAGAATCCAGCACCAAAACCACAGCAAGCAACTGCTATAAGACAGATGACACCTTCTCGCCAGGTTGAAGCAGACACCTGACTGGCTGTTTTGTCTTTCCAACGCAGGGTGACAACACAAGCCGAGACAACTGAGTAGCCGGTCTGAACCAAACAGCAACAATTAGAGCTCAAGCTGCTTAATAAGTTAATTAAAAACAAATTTGGGACAAAGGTTAGCTAACATACCAAAGTGCCAACCGAAAGAATATGAGAGAGCGAGCGTATATTAAATAGTCCAGCCAACACACCAGCTACAATTCCAACCCAGACTTGTGAAATGATAGGAGTGTGCCGTTTGGGGTGCACCTCAGAAAATATAGAAGGCAGCAAACCATCTCTCCCAAGCCCAAGATATAGACGAGACTAATTCATGATGCACATCCCATCAATTGACATAAGATACAAAATGTGAAGTGAACACATCAATTGTTATTGAGTCTGAAATAAATCACCTGAACATAAAGACCAACAAGAAGGGTTGTTGTAAGTCCCGCAACAGCACCTATGCTTATCAAAAAAGAGACAAATTTCAAGCCTTTGGATGCAAAAGCCTCAGCCAATGGAGCATCTTCCCCAAGAAGATAATAAGGAACCATTCCAGTGATTACTAAGCAGACACCAATGTATAGAGCAATGCAAATGAGAAGACTTCCGATTATGCCAATTGGTAAATCCCTCTGAATGGAACCATATCAAAAATGAAAAATTAACCTGCTTTAGAACTTCCAAAGGATATACTGCTATTTGAACTTAACAAATTGATTCGATTGTGCCAGTCAAACATAGAGGGAAGCAAATTAGTTTCATATACCCTCGGACTTTTTGATTCTTCGGCTGAATTTGCAACTGCATCAAACCCCACATATGCGAAGAATACTACCGTAGCTCCAGTTAACACTGCATTAAAGCCATTTGGTGCGAAAGGAGACCAATTTGAAACATCAACCTCAAAAGCACCAGCAAAGATAACACACACGACAATGATGACCTGAAGACATGTTCCAAACTTCCAGTGATTATTACATATATTTTTCTTTCTCATCAAAACCTTTTTCTAGCGCACACACGCACACGCGCACACACGCACGCACACACACACACAGCCAAGCAGAAAGATGAAAATTAGGTCTATGAAAGATTTTTTTTTTTTTTTTAACAAGATACTAACTTTTCATTAAAGATATAAAAAAGAACATAGATAGAAACTCTCGAAAGAGGGCTATTGGAACTTAGGCTTTCACAGACGTCTCAAAGACAAAGAGATTGAAGAATGAGCTGTGTTGTCTCACCTCCATGCCTCTGTCCACCACAGCGATCTCTGGGTATGGAAGATTGACAGCAAGGGCCTTTTCTCAACAAAGTCGCTCCTAGACATGAACATCAAGGAGAATTCCCTACCCACATTTTCTTTTATGGGGCAACCACCTGACCGTACAACATTTGGTGCCGGGAAACACATAGGAATTGCTAATTCCTAAGGTAAGTGGCCATCATGGGGTCTGAACTCTGTTAGGCCCCTCATAACCAAGACATATCATTGGAAGGGTAAAAGGGGAATGTTGGGAGTGTAGGCCATAACGGCCAGGAGAGAGAATGTTAATAGCTGCTGTTAGGGAGTACGGTTAGGGTATAAGGTAAGGAGAATGTTGTAGGGAGGTTTTTATCTTTTGGGGTGCATTGTGTTTTGTCTTGTTAAGCAAGCGAAGGAGAGTTTCCCCACCCTCTCGAATAGGTGGGTTAGCGTTTTGTAAAGCCTGAGAGCTCCTTTGTTCTTGAAGTAATAGAAATAGTGAGGAGATACCTCACAAATTGGTATTAGAGCAAGTTTCGGTGCTGGAAACTGTGAGGAAGCATGACGGTCAAGGAGTTGGAGACACGGTGCGAGGCAGTAGAGCAAGAGATTGTATGTGTGAAGTTGGAAATCACATCGCTACATCAAAGGTTCGATGAACAACAGAAACAGACAGAGAGCCTCCATGTAACGTTGAAAACGTTCATGGCCCAGATTATTGGAGGATCCCCGTCGCAATCAAACTCCTCGCTCACAGGGGAGACATCGATACGGAAAGGGAAGGAAACCGCGGAAGATGTTCCGGCGAACAACAACGAAGCTCAGGGAAATGATCGGAACCGCTTCAAGAAAGTGGAAATGCCTATTTTCGGGGGAGAAGAGCTAAAGGCCTGGATGTTCAGAGCGGAACGATATTTCAAGATACAGAAACTGACCGATGAAGAGAAAATGATCGTTGCCATCATCAGCTTCGATGGAATAGTGTTGGCCTGGTACAGATACACAGACAATCGGGAGAAATACCGGGATTGCAATGATCTTAAAGGTCGACTGCGAGAACGTTTCCATCCGGCGAAAGAGGGAAGACAATGCGCGAAGCTCCTATCGCTGAAACAGGAAGGGAGTTTTGCAGAGTACCGGCAGCAATTTGAAGCTCTCGCGGCGGCGCTACCTCAACTAACCGACAAGGTGTTAGAGAGTGCATTCTTGAATGGGCCGGACTCAATCGTTAGGGCTGAGATACAAGCGATGGAACCCAAAGGCTTGGATCAAATTATTCGCAAAGCCCAGCTGATAGATGAAATCAACACGGCGATGATGGAAGCAGAAGGCCAGACGATTAAGAGAAAGCCCACACAGGCCCAGTTGTCAGCAAGTTGGCCCAAAAATCCCATGAGGTAGTCCCCATATGCACGGTCACCCTTACGACTAAAAACCTTAATCTGTGCAGGGAACAAGTACGACCCATACCGCCAAGAAGGAAACACCGTATAAGAAATTGACGGAGGCCGAATACCTGAAACGGAGGGAGCGAGGACTGTGCTTTCGCTGCGAGGAAAAATACACCGTCGGTCACAAGTGCAGAAAGCGAGAACTTCGAGTATTTGTGGTACACGACGACGAGCTCCTAGAAATGGAAGACGATTCAATTATGGAGACGGAGCGGAAATGAAAGGAAAGACAGATGGAAAAATGGTAGAATGCCAATTAAACACCATTGTGGGTATCTCGACCCTAGGGACAATCAAGGTCAAGGGGTTACTGCTAGACAAAGAGGTAACTGTCCTCATTGATTGTGGAGCCACCCACAATTTTATATCTCTTCCCCTCGCAGATGAACTGAAATTACCTAAGACAGAAACGATAAGTTATGGAATCATCATGGGATCCGAAACAGCAGTCAAGGGCCATGGAGTGTGCAAGGGCATTGTTCTCTCACTGCCAGAACTCACAGTTAAAGATGATTTCCTACCGTTGGACCTAGGCTCGTTGGATGTGGTTTAGGAATGCAGTGGCTCCAGACGATGGGAAAAATGGAGGCGGACTGGCCGGCACTGACCCTCATGTTCCAACGCGGCGAGAAGCAGATTACTATTAAGGGCAATCCTACCTTAGCACGACTGGAGGTGTCAATGAAACGCCTAGCTAAGTTGTGGGAACCTCAGGATCAAGGCTACCTGGTAGAGATGAGGGTGTTGAATGCTCAGCCAGACGAGATGGACCTGGACCAAGATCAAATGTCCCCCAAGATAGAGGAACTCGTGCACGAGTACATGGATGTCTTTTAGAAACCTGAGGAGTTACCTCCAGTTAGGACGACAGACCATCGTATCCCATTGCAAGAAGGTCATACCGCTACCCACATGCCCAAAAGGATGAAGTTGAGGAAATGATAAACGAGATGCTAACGACGGGAATTATTAAGCCCAGCGTCAGCCTGTTTTCCAGCCCTATAATCTTAGTGAAAAAGGACGGGAGTTGGCGCTTTTGCGTCGATTATAGAGCGTTGAACGATGCCACCATCCCTGATAAGTTCCTGATTCCAGTGGTGGAGTTACTGGATGAGTTACATGGATTGAAAATTTACTCGAAGATTGATTTACGTTCGGGCTACCACCAGATCCGGATGGCGGCTGAAGACACGCATAAAACAGCCTTCAGAACTCATGAAGGGCACTATGAATTTTTGGTGATGCCATTCGGGCTAACCAACGCCCCCTCGACATTTCAAGCATTGATGAATGATGTGTTTAGACCTTATCTACGCAGATGCGTACTGGTTTTCTTTGATGATATCTTAATTTACAATTCTAATATGGAAACTCACCTGGTTCATTTGGCCATGGTATTTAACACTTTGAGGGAGAACTCGTTACATGCCAACTTAAAGAAGTGCCAGTTCGCAGTAGAAAGGATTGAGTATCTGGGGTATTGGGTGTCTGCGGAGGGAGTAGAGGCGGACCCAACTAAAATAACGGTGATGCTACAATGGCCCGTACCCGCCAATGTGAAGGAACTCAGGGGGTTCTTAGGATTGACGAGGTACTACAGAAAATTCGTGGAAAACTACGGTACCATCGCCGCACCACTAACTCAGTTGCTTAAGAAAGACGGATTTCAATGGGATGATCAAGCAACAGCAGCCTTCAAGAGATTAAAGGCAGCGATGGTTACCCTACCAGTGTTGGCCCTTCCAGATTTTAGTGTGCCCTTTGTCATAGAAACCGATGCGTCGGGAACGGGATTGGGAGTCGTATTAACCCAGAATCAGAGACCAATTGCTTAATTTAGTCATACTTTATCACTTCAGAATCAGGCTAAGTCAATCTATGAAGAGAACTGATGGCAGTGGTGTTGGCAATTCAACAATGGAGGCCTTACCTTTTGGGGCAGCGATTCATAGTGCGGACTGATCAACAAGCATTAAAATACTTGTTGGAGCAACGCATAGTCCAACCTGAGTACCAGAAGTGGATCTCGAAACTATTGGGCTATGACTTTGAGATACAATACAAACAAGGAATGGAGAATAAGGCAGCTGTCCAGGAGACCACCACCTGCACAATTGGCGGTGTTATCAGCACCAGCAGTGGTGGACATCACGACCATCCGCCAAGAAGTTGCTGCCGATCCGCACTTTGCCAAGATTCTGGATCAACTGAAGGAAGATCCTGATAGTGTCCCGCGATTCCTGATCCAACAAGGTACCCTCTACTATAAGAATTGGGTGGTGCTCTCAAAAGGTTCGTCTCTCATACCGGCGATTCTACACATGTATCACAATTCGGTCCTAGGGGGACACTCGGGTTTCTTACGTACATACAAAAGATTGACAGGGGAGTTGTATTGGTCGGGTATGAAGGAGGATGTTAAGCGTTATGTGACAGAATGCGAGGTATGCCAACGAAGCAAAACAGAATCGCTAGGCCCTGCTGGTTTGCTCCAACCGTTACCATTGTCGAACCGCATTTGGGAAGATGTAACCATGGATTTCATTGAAGGGCTGCCGAAGTCAATGGGAAAGGATGTTATATTGGTGCTGGTCGATAGGCTGAGCAAATATGCCCATTTCATTGCCTTGACACATCCCTATTCGGCGAAAGGAGTGGCAGCGGTGTGTGAAGGAGATCGTACGACTTCATGGGTTCCCTCGTTCAATCATATCCGACATGGACAAGGTATTTATCAGTCACTTCTGGTCAGAATTATTCCGGTTACAAGGAACCACACTGAAACACAGCACAGCCTATCATCCACAAACCGACGGGCAAACCGAGATAGTGAATAAATGCCTAGAAACCTACTTGCGTTGTTTCTGTGGTGTGAACCCGAAGAGTTGGGGACAGTGGTTGGCTTGGTCAAAATACTGGTACAATACCACGTACCACAGTTCATTAGGAACCACCCCTTTTCAGGCTGTCTATGGGCGACCACCTCCACCACTGGTACTGTACGGCAGTCAACAGACCACCAACGCTACGTTGGATCGGCAACTAATCGAAAGGGATGCTGCCCTCGACAAACTCAAAGATCATCTACGAATGGCTCAAGACCGTATGAAAAAACAGGCGGATAAGCATCAAAGAGAAGTCAAGTTCACTGTTGGTGACCGGGTATACCTCAAGGTGTGACCCTACAGACAGAAAACCATCGCTAGAAGGAAGAATGAGAAGCTGAAGCCAAAGTATTTCGGTCCATTTGTGATCCTACAACGTATAGGCAAGGTGGCGTACAGGTTATAATTACCCGATGGGGCGCGGATTCACCCGGTATTCCATGTTTCGCAGCTGAAGAAAGCAATTGGCAACACCACGACAGCCCACCTGATCCCATCGGAATTAACGGATGATTGGGAATGGCTGACGGAACTTGAGGGAGCATTGGCACTACAGACCAACCCAGCCACTGGCGAACAAGAGGCCC